TAGTGACAGGCAGGAACACCTTAATTCTTTATCCACAAGTGAATCCACAGAAAGGAGGTAGATACCCAGGTAATATTATTCTGTCCCTAAAGGGAACACATGTGACACAGGTTACAACATGAAGGAGCACTGATGACATTGCAGTAAGAGAAATAAGCCCAGCGCAGGAGGACAGATACCACAGGAATTCACTTTAGGAAGAAGAGGCAGTGGAAGGGTGGGTGCTATGGCTGTGGGAATGGAGAGAAGCTGAGACCCACTCTGTACATAAAGACTTTTAGATCAGTGTGAGGGAAACTTCTGGGGATCAAGAGTGACTCACAGCCTCCCACTGTGCCTTGGAAATAGTAAAATCCCAAACTTCATCCTGCTCATCTGTACTATCATAGAAATACCACAAAGCTCATTACTAAAGTTATTCCAAATATGGATCTCCAAACATGTTTTAAGGCAGTATTCTGAGCCATGTTGGAGGAACTTATATTCCATCATTGTTTGATCTGTGCTAATTTGCAATGAAATTTTTAATAGAAGAAATTGTTTTTGGCCTTCATTCCAGTGAGGACTGCCAAGGTGCACAGGGAGCTTACCAGCCCCTTGGGCCTTTGGTCCCATGAGCACTGCCTATCTGCTGGGCACCTCTGCAGAATCCACCTGCCACCCCATGCTCTCAGGCCTCCTGCTTGTGCCAGTACCTGGATCCACACTGCAGGGCCACAGGTGGTCATAAAGGCCATTTTACTGGACTCCAGAAGATAGAACAGAAGTAAAAAGACTGCAATTAAGGCACATCAGACCTCCATAGCTGGTTAGTTGGAGGGATCACCACGTTCCATCAGAACTAGCACTATCTTCAGGGGAAGAGCAGCTGGAACCTGCAGTAGAACCTTGGAGAGTTCAACCCTGCAGGAGGTCAGGGAGCTCAACTTGGGCCTTGCAGCCAGAATTCAGCCTGAATCTCAGGGGTCAGTGTTGGCTAGCTGAGACTAACTGACTTAGTTGTGCACATTGTTGCCCACATCGTCTATTGTGACAGCAGAGATATACCCTGAAAGAGGTTCTTCAAACTTTTTTCTTTTTCCTCATATTATTAATTTGTAATTTTTAGTTTTAAAATTTTATTATTTTCCCATTCTGAAAATTCTTCCTTTTTTCTTTCTTCTTTTCCCCACTCATGCTCTTGCTCCCCCATGTTATTCTTCATCTCCCTTTTTGTTCCAGTTCCTGCCCTAATTTGGATTGCTTCTTTCCTTTTCTTTACTTCTTTCTTTTTCCTTTACTCGATGGTCATTAGTTTCAAAGGAAAATGAGTATAACTTATAGCTTCGCTATTACTGTTAAGTTGATCTATTCTTGTCTTGGTTCTTGCATTCTGTCTTTCCTTCTTGTCTTCAACAATTTCCCAGAGTTTGTGTGATCATCCTGTATCCTCTGGCTTCACTTGAAACCTTCTCCTGTTCTTCTACTTATCTATTCCTCTCCTCCTAACTCCTTCTAAGTCTCCATTATGAAGGGTAAAATGCTATATTGAAGAGTTTATTCACTATAAACATATTTTGAACTGGTCTTGATTTTGATTTAATTCACATGGTTTAAAGGTGATACATTAATAACTATGACAAATGGCCACTTTTCAAGATGTGCTTCATGCTATTGTGTTTCTGATTATATGAATTGGGCTAAATTGTAATTGATTTAATGATTTGTCCTTTCCGATATTATGAAAATGAGAATGTCTATGAGTCATTACAGACTCAACACCTAAAGAGCAGCTATATCAAGAAGATCAAAGTACTAACCCAGGAATTAAACCAAGGATGGCCTAACAACAAAAACAAAAATGAGAAAACACTTAAGCAAGGCACAAAAACAGACTTCCAGTTCACCAACGCTAAACTCTAGGGGAAATGAGGTGGAAAAGACTGACAATAAACCACCAGGACACCCTGAACTGATAGAACAGGAAGTAAAAAAACCAGATCAACCAGGCTCTAGAAAAATTCAAAACAGAAATAATTTCCCAGATAACTACAGAGATGGTGAGCACAATGAAAAACATGATTAAAGGGCCAGTGATTTAGCTCAGCGGTTCAGTGGCCTGCCTTGCAAGCGCAAGGACCCAAGTTCAATCCCTGGTACCAAAACAAACAAACAAACAAACAAACAAAAAACCCCACATCATTAGAGACTCTTGGAGACTCTTGAACAGTAGCTGACAAAAAATAGATCATCTCAGGACCGTGATAGAAGCCATGAAGGACTAGCATAGGAATGGAAACCATGAATAGCCAACACAGGAAAGAAATGGAATCCATGAAACAGATTTAAACAGATATCTAGGAGATTAAAAGAATCATACCACAGTGATATGTGCACACCCATGTTTATAGCGGCACAGTTTGTAATAGCTAAAACTTGGAAACAGCCCATCTGCCCATCAGTTGGAAAATGGATAAAGAAGATGTGGTTTTTCTATAAAATGGAATACTACTCATCCATAAAGAATGAGAAAGTAGATTCATTCATAGGTAAATGGGTACATTTTGAGGATGTACTCCTAAGTGAAATATATAAGTCACACATATGCAAATACCAAATAGTTTCTCTGGTGTAAAAAAATAAAATAGTACTCAAGATCCTAATGGGACAATTAGCAATGTGAAATAGAAAGAAAAGGACCAAAGATGTATGGACAGTGAGAAGGATAGGGAAAGGGGAACAAGGGAAAAGGAAAAAAAATGAGAAAATGTAAAAATGGAATTAAAGCATTTAAAGGTGGGGAGGGGATGAGGGGGTGAAGGGAGGATGGGGACAAGTGGAAAAAATGAGAACCAAGACCTGTCATGTAAAGGTACAAGATCCCAGTAATGAATGTAACTGTACTGTCTACCTAGAATGTACCAATAAATTCAATTTGAAAGAAAAAAAACTATATCAAAGCATTCACAGCATGACGAACAAATGTGAAGATAGAATTTCAGATATAGAAGATAGGACTGCAATCAGTGACTGTAAAAAAGAGATCTTTTAAAAACAGTAAGGGATCATGAGAAATTGATACAACAAGTCCTAGATGATGCAAAGAAAAATAACATAAGACTGATTGATAGGAATCTATGAAATAGCAGGAGAAAATAGAAATGACATTAAAAAAGCTGTTCACAGAATTAATGACAAGAAACTTCCCAAACAAAGGGGAAGAATTTGACATACAGATAAATGAGGCATATAGGACTCTAAGTAGCCATGATAAAAAACAATGAAAACAACTACACCTAGACATATACTAGTCAAGGTCCTAGAAACCCAACAGAAGAACAAAATACTACAAGCTATTAGAGAAAAGAAATAAATCACATGCAAAGGAAAGCCCATCAGAATCACAGCAGACTTTTCAATATAAACTCTCAAGTTAAGGAGAGCCTGAAGTGAGGTATTTCCAGTTCCAGAAGTATTTCAAGTCCTAAGAGAAAACAACTTCCAACCTAGACTGATGTAACCTGCAAAACTCGCTTTTAAAATGGATGGGGAAGTACGATACTTCCATGACAAAGAACACCTGAGAAACTTCATGAATATCAAACCAGTACTATAAAAAATTCTAAACAATACCCTAGAAAAAGACAACGAAGGTCAAAACACCATGAGGCCTGACAGAACAAATCACCTAGGCAAGGCAAGAACTTAAGGGAGAGGGGGAAAATATTGAAAAGAGCAAAGAATAGGGCAATAACATGGCAATGATGAGTCAATCCATATCAGTTATAAACATCAATGTCAGTGGCCTCAATTCACCCATCAAAAGAAACAGACTGGCAGAATGGATTAAGAAGCAAAATCCTAACTGAAATTCCAACACTATATTTCACAGAACTAGAAAGGAGAATCCCAAAATTCATTTGGAACCATAAGAGACCTAGAATAGCAAAAGCCATCCTAGGCAACAGAGACATGGCAGCGGGTATAACAATTCTCAATTTGAAACTATACTACAAAGCCACTGTGATAAAAACAGCACAGTACTGGCAAAGAAACAGACCTGGGGATCAGTGAAACAGATTGGAGGACACAAAAACAACTCCAGATGTATGCAGCTATGTCATCTTTGACAAAGGAGCTGACCATCCTCAGTGGAGGAAAGAGATCCTCTTTAATAAGTGGTGTTGGAAAAACTGGATCTCAACCTGCTGAAGATTAAAACTAGACCCTTATCGGGTGGGTCCGGGACCTCCCCAACTGTGCGCCACCAGATCCAGTAAGGAAGGACCTGGAGGAAGTCTCTCTGGCCACCTGCTCGGGAGCACCCGGTGAGTCCGTGACCTCCCCGTCTGCATGCCACCATATCCAGTAAGGAAGGTGGCCGTGCTGGCACCGTTGAAACACTGCCATGATCTGATCCCCCACCCTGTTCTCAAACCTCCTGATTGGGCCAGTCCTTTGACCCATTCTGCAGAGGCATAGGAGGTCATGAAGGGTATTTTTCTGAGCTCCCAACTTTGAACATCTTTAAAGAAAGGGCAGCGGAAACCTGTAATAGAACTGAGTGGAGTTCAACTCTGTGTGTTGGGAAACTCATTTTAGGCCTTGTGGACTGAGGTTAGTCTGAGTCATGGGGACCTGCTATTGGCCAGCCAAGATCAGGGGATATGGTTCTGTACATGGCTGTACACAAGGTATAATATGACAACAGAGACATAGTCTGAAAGAAGCCCTTCCAATTCTTTTATTTTTCTTTTCCTCATTACACCCTATAATTTCTTTCTTTTATCTGTCCTCTCTCTCCAACTCAGTCTCTTGCTCCACCATATTATCCCTCATCTCCCTTTTTATTCCTGCTCCTGCCCTAACTCAAACTTCTACTTTTATCATTTTTTCTTTATGTTCTTTTCTCCTGCCATTTTAACTCACTTATGGCTCCGTAGTGTCAAGAGAGGAAGAGCCCCTGTTACTGTTAAGGGGATGTATTATTGTCCCTATTCTTGCACTCTGTCTATCCCCTTTGAAGTTAATCCTCTGGCTTCACTTGAAACTTTCTCCAATTCTTTCACTTATCTACTCCTCTTGTACTGACTCAGTCTAAGCTCCCATCCTAAATGGTAAAGATACTATATTGAAAAGCGTATTCACTGTAAACATATTTTGGGCTGCTTCTTGATATTAATTTAATTCACATGGCTTAAAGGTGATAGATTACTGACTACCACAAGCCATCAATTTGCAAGCTGTGCTTGATCCTATTGGGATGCTGAATGTAACAATTGGGATAAAGTATTGTGATTGATTTTATGAGTTGTTTTCTCTGATATTATGAAGATGAGGATGTCTATGAGTCACTAGAGACTCAAAAGCTAAAAGGCAACTATATCAGGAAGATTTAAGTAATAAATCAGAAATTGAACCAAGGACAACCCAACAACAAAAATAAAAATGAAAAAACACTTAAGCAAGACACAAAGACAGACTTCCAGTTCACCAATGGCAAACAGTAGGGCAAATAAGGATGAAAAGTCTGATAGTGAACCAGCAGGACACCCTGGACCCATAGCACAGGAGGTAACAAAACAGATCAATCAGGCTCTAGAAAAATTCAAAACAGAAATAATTTCCCAGTTAACCATAGAGATGGTGAACAAAATGGAAGTCATGACTCGAGACTCTACAACAGAAACTGACAAAAAAAATACATGAGCTCAAGATCATGATAGAAGCCATGAAGACACAGCATAAGAAAGTAATGGAAACAATGAATGCCCAACAGAGGAAAGAAATGGAATCCATAAAACAGATTCAAACAGATATCCAGGAGATTAAAAACTCTATTGAAAGTGCACACAACGGAATAAAAGATCGCAAAGATAGAATTTCAGATATTGAAGATAGGATTGTGGTCAGTGACCATGAAAAGAGGTCTCTCAAAAACAGTAAAGGATCATGAGAAATCTATCCAACAACTTCTAGACGATGCAAAGAAAAATAATGTAAGACTGATAGGAATCCATAAAATAGCAGGAGAAAACACAAATGACTTAAAAAAGCTCTTCACAGAATTAATGACAGAAAACTTCCCAAACAGAAGGGAAGAATTAGACATACAGGAAAGTGAGGCATGTAGAACTCCAACTAGCCATGATAAAAAACAAATCTACACCTAGACATATACCAATCAAGATCCCAGAAATCCAACAGAAGAACTAAATACTACAAGCAGTAAGAGAAAAGAAACAAATCACATGCAAAGGAAAGCAAATTAGAATCACAGCAGACTTCTGAACACAAACAATCAGGTCGAGGAGAGTCTGGAGTGAGGTATTTCAAGTCCTAAAAGAAAACAACCTCCAACCTAGACTGATGTATCCTGCAAAACTCTCCTTCAAAATGGATGGGGAAATAAGATACTTCCACGACAAAGAACACCTGAGAAACTTCATGAACACCAAACCAGCACTACAAGGAATTCTAAACAATATCCTAGAAAAGGACAATGAAGGTCACAACACCATGAGCCCAACACACCAAATCAAATAGGTAAGGCAAGAAACTAAAAGGAGAGTGGGAAAAAAGCACAAAGAGTTAACTAAAGGACAATAACATATCAATAATAAGTCAGAACATATCAGTTATAAACATCAATGTCAATGGCCTCAACTCACCAATCAAGAGAAATAGACTGGCAGAATGGATTAAGAAGCAAAATCCAACAATATGTTGTGTACAAGAAACACACCCAGTGCAAAAAGAAGTCCATAGACTGAAAGTGAAAGGATGGAAAACAATTCTCTATGCAACAGGGGCCCAGAAAAAAGCAGGGGTAGCAATCTTATTTGCACACAAAGTAAATTTCAAACCAAAACTCATTAAGAGAGACCAAGAAGGCCACTAAATCCTTGTAAAGGGAATGATTCAAGAGGAAGAGATGACAATCATAAACATATATGCACCAAATATAGACTGAAAGTGAAAGGATGGAAAACAATTCTCTATGCAACAGGGGCCCAGAAAAAAGCAGGGGTAGCAATCTTATTTGCACACAAAGTAAATTTCAAACCAAAACTCATTAAGAGAGACCAAGAAGGCCACTAAATCCTTGTAAAGGGAATGATTCAAGAGGAAGAGATGACAATCATAAACATATATGCACCAAATATAAATGCCCCCAACTATATAAAACAAATATTAAGTAACATGAAAAACTAAATAAGCACTAATACAATTATACTGGGGGATTTAAATTCCCCACTATCACAAATTGACAGATCATCTAGGCAGAAAATCAACAATGAAATAATAGAACTGAACCAAGCTTTGGAACACATGGACTTAATAGATATCTATAGAGTATTCCACCACACAAAATCAGAATATACATTCTTTTCTGCTGCACATAGATCATTCTCCAAGATAGACCACATATTGGCTCACAGAACAGGTCTGAATAAATGCAAAAGAATCGAAGTTATCCCCTGTATATTATCAGATCATAGTGCAATCAAGCTGGAGAGCAATAGCACAAGAAACTGTAGGAACTTCACAAGCACATGGAAACTGAACAACACTCTCCTAAACAATCAATGGATCACAGAGATTATTAAGGAAGAAATCAGACAGTTTTTACAAATAAATGAAAATTCAACATACAGGAATCTATGGGACACAATGAAAGCATTTCTACAGGGAAAATTCATAGCACTGAATGCCCACACTAGGAAAACAGAGTGAGCTCAAATAAACAACCTAATGATGACTCTTAGACTCCTAGAAAAACAAGAGCAAGAAAAACTCAAAGCTTTAACAAGAGAGGAAATTATAAAGATTAGAGCAGAAATCAATGCAATGGAAACTAAGAAAATGATACAAAAAATCAATGAAAGAAAGAGTTGGTTTTTTGAAAGACTAAATAAAATTGACAAACCCTTAGCTAATATTATTTTAAAAATGAAAGAAAAGGCTCAGATCCATGCAATCAGGAATGAAAAATGTGAAGTCACAACAGATCCAACAGAAATCCAGAGTATCATTAATACCTACTTTGAGAACCTGTACTCTAATAAATTGGAAAACACAGAAGAAATGGACATATTTTTAGATACTTATAAATTACCAAAGTTGAACAAAGAAGATAAAAACATTTTAAACACCCCAATTATAGTCAGTGAAATGGAAAATGTAATTAAAAATTTACCAACAAAGAAAAGCCCAGGACCTGATGGATTCACTGCTGAATTTTACAAGACATTTAGAGAAGAACTACTGCCTTTACTCTTCAGACTTTTCAATGAAATTGAAAGGGAAGCAATACTTCCAAATTCATTCCTGGAAGCAAGTATCACTTTGACTCCCAAACCAGGGAAAGACGCAACTAAAAAACAGAACTACAGGCCCATCTCCTTAATGAATATAGATGCAAAAATCCTTAATAAGATGCTAACAAATGGAATACAGAGGATTATCAAGAAGATCATACACCCTGACCAAGTGGGATTTATTCAGGGATGTAAGGATGGTTCAACATACATAAGTCAATAAATGTAATACACTTTTTAAAAGAGTCAAGGACAAAAAACATACGATCCTCTCGATAGATGCAGAAAAGGCATTTGACAAAATTGAACAGCCATTCATGATAAAACACTGCAAGAAATTGGAATAGATGGTCTCTATCTCAACTTAATAAAGGGTATCTATGAAAAACCAACAGCCAAAATCATATTAAATGGCCAAAAACTGAAAACCTTCATACTAAAATCAGGAACAAGACAAGGATGCCCACTATCACCACTCCTCTTCAACATAGTTCTGGAAATATTGGCCACAGCAATTAGACAAGAGAAAGAAATTAAAGCAATAAAGATAGCAAAGAAAGAAGTTAAACTGTCATTATTTGCTGATGATATGATACTCTACATTGAAGACCCAAAAAACTCCACCAAAAGATTTCTTGACTTAATAGACACTTTTGGCAGAGTAGCTGGATACAAGGTCAATACCCCAAAATCAATATCTTTCTTCTACACAAATAACAGACTCACTGAGAGTGAAATTAGGGAAACAATTCCTTTCACAACAGCACCCCAAAAAATGAAGTATCTGGGAATCAATCTAACCAAAGAAGCAAAAGACCTCTACACTGAAAACTACAGCACTATGAAAAAAGAGATCAAAGAGGATATAAGAAAATGGAAAGATCTCCCATGCTCCTCGGTAGGAAGAATCAACATAGTGAAAATGGCCATAGTACCAAAACTGCTATACAGATTCAATGCAATACCAAAGGAAATTCCAACACTATATTTCACAGAACTAGAAAGGAGAATCCCAAAATTCATTTGGAACCATAAGAGACCTAGAGTAGCAAAAGCCATCCTAGGCAACAGAGACATGGCAGCAGGTATAACAATTCCCAATTTGAAACTATACTAGAAAGCCACCATGATAAAAACAGCACAGTACTGGCAAAGAAACAGACCTGAGGATCAGTGGAACATATTGGAAGACACAAAAACAACTCCAGAAGCACTCAGCTACCTCATCTTTGACAAAGGAGCTGACCATCCCCACTGGAGGGTAAGATAGTCTCTTTAACATATGGTGTTGGAAAAACTGGATCTCAACTTGCCAAAGATTAAAACTAGACCCTTACCTTTCATCATGCAGTAAAATAAAATCCAAGTGAATTAATATCTAAATATTAAAACAGAAACACTAAACTTGCTGTAAGATAAATTAGGCAGAACTCTTGAAGACAATGGCATAGGAAAAGACGTTATGAACAAATCCTTAGTAGCATGGGAACTAACAGAAAGAATCAACAACTGGGATCTCATCTTATTGAAAAGCTTCTGCGCTGCAAAAGAAACCATCAGCAGAACTAAGAGTTAACCTATACTGTGGGAAAAAATTTTTACCAGCTGCTCCTCAGACAAAGGACTATTATCTAGAATATATAAAGAACTCAAAGCAATCAGCCCCCCCAAATAAAGACCCAATTCAAAAATGGGCATCTGAAATGAACAGACATTTGTCAGAACAAGAAGTAAAAGCAGCATGTAAATATATAAAGAAATGTTCCATATCACTGGTCTTTTGAGAGATGCAGATGAAAACAGCACTGAGATTCCACCTCACCCCACAAAGAATGGATGCTATCAAGAAATCACACAATAACAAACGTTGGCGGGGTTGTAGGGGATAAAGGAATCCTTCTCCACTGTTGGTGGGAGCACAGACTGGTGTAACCACTATGGAAATCCATATGGAGATACCTCAAAGACTAGATCTAGAGGTTCCATTTGACCCAGCCATCCCTCTGCTGGATATCTTTCCAAAAGATTTAAAAGAATCATACCACAGAGATATATGCACACCTTTGTTTATAGCAGCACAGTTTGCAATGGCTAAAACTTGGAAACAGCTCATTTGCCCATCGGTTGGAAACTGGATAAAGAAGATGTGGTTTTTCTATAAAATGGAATACTACCCAGCCATAAAGAATGAGGAATTAGAGTCATTCATAGGAAAATGGATACATATTGAGGATATACTCTTAAGTGAAATAAATAAGTCACACATGTGTAAATACCAAATACTTTCTCTGGTGTGAAAAACTATAATAGTATACAAGTTATTAATGGGATAATTAAGAATGCAAAATAGGAAGAAAAGGGCTAAAGGTGTAGGGCAAGTGGGAAGGGTAGGGGAAAGGAAATAAGGGAAAAGAAAAAATATGAGAAAATGTAAAAATGGAAATAAAGAGTTTGTTAATGGGGAGGAGAGGATGGGGTGAAGGGAGGGCAGGGACAAGTGGAAAAAATGAGAACCAAGAACTGTCATGTGAAGGTACAGGATCCCATTAATGAATGTAACTGTACTGTAGATCTAGATTGTACCAATAAACTCAATAAAAAATATTAAAAAAAACCCAACTAAAATTCACCCAAAATTTAGTCAAGGCATTCTAGGTTTCAATAACCCAGCAAAGAAGTATATCTAACCGAAAGAATCATTAGTAAAAATATAGTCAAAAAATTAAAATTATCTATCAGTAGTAACTTTTTGCTTTATTAAAATCAGGAGAATTTTTTTGTTATGTGTATTTTCTGCTTTTTTTATGAATACTTTAAAACCAGATATATGCATGCTAGATTGTGAATTATCTGTAGGAGAGTTAAGAATGTGTGTGTTTGTGTTTCTGTGAAAGAGGGAGGGAGAGTGAAATAGGTAAGCTTCAAACGTGAACAAAGAATTTAGGATTAATTAGAGGAATTAATTAGAATTATATCTATGCAGGAATTTTCTCACTACTCTATTTATAATACCTAAATTAGTATTAAGTGAGTTTTTAAGAATATAGAAATTTTAAGCTAAAAATGCTATGCAGATGTACAAATTGAGCTTTATGTTTTTTGAGGAACAGTATAAATATAAATACATTATGACTTCAAATGAAAAGCATAGAAAAAATGCTAATATATTGACAAGTTATAATTTTAAAAGATGCATAAGAAAGAAATATCAAAATTGTTGCAGTGGAGATCTACAAATTGTAAAACACTAAGTAATTTTTATTTGCCTTTTAAATCCTGTCTGGATTTTTTTAAATCCCTAGCTTGTGCTTTTTTAAAAGTTTTGTGTACAATTTATTATTGTAAAAATACTACATAAAGAATAACTTTGGAAAAGACAAGAGGCAACAGGATGACAATAATAATTATAGAATGTCCACCATTCTTTTTAACTAATAAAATTTTACAGCACAGAGACATAATCATTTTCATTGCCAACTTATTTTCTGAGGTCTACAGATTTCTGCAACCATTTAATCTCCAAAAATAACTGCAGAAACAAAATAACATTTACTCAGATTTGAGATCTCATTTGAATCTTAACCCCACAGAAAGTTGTGACTTCACTCCATCACTCCAATAATGAACGGAGAGCATGAAAGCACAAGATTGATATGTTTGTTTGAGGAGAACTAATATGCCGTGCTTGACTGATGCTGCTCAACTTCATCGAGGATAAAGAGGAAAAAATGCCAGTAATAAAGCATCTACTGCCCATGCTTTGGTGCTGGAAAGTGACACTAGAAGCACAGCATTTGCTGTTCTCCTGAGATTCAATCTGTGAGCCATGTTGCTTGGGACAATGTCATCTTTTACTCATTTTTTAGAGCAACTGAGAAACTTGACACTTCAATAGAAGAATCTAGCTCAAAATTTAATTAAGGCAAGGAGATGAACATCTAATCAGAAAGGAGGAAGAGGAGAGGGAGGGAGGAAATGATAGATGAATATAAGGGCAGAGGAAGGAAAGAAGGGAATAGGTATGGGCCTGAGGAAAGTACTGAGCTATAGAAGAAAACATTAAAATATTGTGGCAACAGTGCTGACTTTCAGATCTTATTCTTTTACACTTGAGTTAACTGCACTTTTCTAATTAATTTAACTTTAATTAAATATGTATGCTAGACAAAAAAAATTTCCTTCTCCAGTGTTCTGAAATTTTCCTTGTGGAAGTCTTTAACATTCATGGTTGGATTGATCCTTGGATATTTTATTTTTTTCAAGCTATTGTGAATGCAATTATTTTCCTGATTTCTCTCTTAGTTAGTTCATTACTGGTTTATAGAAAAGCTCTTGATTATTTTTAGCAGTACATGTCTTTAGTACACAATGCTCATGTTCATCATGGGGACTTTGTACATATACATAACATACATTACTTTTTTGTCCTTTTACCCTCATATTTCCTCCCTCAGAACTTTCTTACCTTCTTCACTTTTAAAAGCTCTATTTAATTTCGTACCTTGAATCTGGATTATAAAGACTGCACCCCACCCTGGGATTGAAGGGCCCTTTTCCATGCCGTCTTCACATCCTTGTTTCTCAGGGTGTAGATGAGTGGATTGAGCACTGGGGTGATCACACAGTAGAAGAAAGATGTGAACTTGGCCTGTGTGTTGTGGGCAGGGGGCTGGAGGTACATGTACATGGAAGGGCCAAAGAACATGGTGACCACCAGCAAGTGGGAACTGCAGGTGCTGAGTGCCTTGTGCCTTCCTTCAGCTGAAGGGAGCTTCAGTACAGTCCTAGCAATGAAGGTGTAGGAGATGACCACCATCAGGGGAGCCACCCCTGAAAAAGGAATGGCACCTATAGCCAGGGTTAGCTCATTAGCTGTTGTGTCCCCACAGGCCAGCTTGATGAGCACAGGCACCTCGCAGAACAAGTGGTCTAGGGTGTGGTGCCCACAGAGGGGGAGCTTTAGGGTAAGTGTAGCTTGGAGCAGAGAACTGGCCAGGCCACTTGACCAGCATGCAGCAGCCATCTGCACACACACCCAGGGACGCATGATGAGAGTGTACCGGAGGGGTTGGCAGATGGCCACATAGCGATCAATGGCCATCACGGCCAGCAGGATGTATTCAGCACAGCCTGTTAAAGCAAATATATAGGCCTGTGTGATGCATCCCCAGGAAGCAATAGTCTTGTCTGGTCCCCACAGGTTGACCAGCAGCTGGGGCACAGTGGTGCAGGTGAGACTGAGGTCCAGCAGAGAGAGGTTGTCCAGGAAGAAGTACATGGGTGTCTGGAGTCTGGGGTCCACCAGGGAGAGGAGGACGATGGAGCTGTTCCCCACCAGGGTGAGGATGTAGGAGACCAGGACCACTGCAAAGAGGGGCCTCTCCAGCCAGGGAAACTCTGAGAAGCCCAGCAGGACAAAGGTGTTGGGAAAGCTCATGTTTCCCCTTTCCATGGCTGGTGCCTTACATATGCCTAGAAGGTAAGGGCCATAATTAAGAGTATAAACATGACTTTTCCTCTTCAGTAACTTCATGGCTGCACTCTCAAATGTTCCATGGTTTTTGGATAATAATTCCTTTAATGGGAGTTTTTGACTGAAACATACCTATCCCTTGATTTGGAAGTCAGGATAATGGTGGATAAGCATATGCTGAGAAATTTTACATTGCACTAAGTTCTCTGAATTAGTATCATTTTTGTAGAAGATGTCTTCCTATCATTTTCACCCCAATTCTCCCTTCTTTATCACCTGCTTCTTTCTGTCTATGTTGCTATCTATTCATTGTCATGTTCTGTGGTCCTGCAGAAAGGGCCATGTGGATACTAGGGCACTGCTTTCAGGAATGTTGTGTAAGATGACTCTGCCTCGTGTTTCCTCTCAGTCCAGATGGGTGAGGGGTCCTGGTTTTCAGTAGCACTCGGTGGAAGCTGAGAGAGGCAAAGTAGCTCACTGTGGCTGTGAATTTCTGTGGGGCAGGATGTCGTTAAATGAAGTTATTCTGGGGATTACCTATCCCTACCACAACGTTATTCATTTAAAATGCACATGACACCCTTTTATGCTCAAAGCACTTTCAAGCACACTGTGGTGATGGCTGCCTTCATATTTTGGTCCCTCCACTTCATGTGAGTTAAATAAGGACAGAATCCATCCAGACTCCTCCAACTCTGGCACTTATCCCCTTCATTCTCTATAGTTTTGATTTATGTAACTATCTCAGTGAATTAAAATCCTGTACTACTTGATATATTGTAATGAGATTATTAATCATATATCAGCAGGCTATGAAAGTTTCCCTACTGGTTTGGTGAAGATAATTTTTTTAATGGATTGAATAGTTGTGGGATTGGATGATTCAAGTGCATTAAATTTATTGTGGACTTTATTTTGAAAATTATTATGTATATGAGAGTTATGCAGTAATTTAATGAAAGAAATATAGAAAGCAGAAAGAGTGTGAGCACTGAGCTTATTTTCCTGAAACTAGACCATCCCACTTGGGGGGAGCAGGAGACGTGACTCTGTGGATCTGTTGCTCCTGTCCTATCTGCTCCATCATCTCGATTTGGTGGCTGTCACTGCAGAAAATCCTGTTTCACAAAGAACAGATGCTGCAAATGGAAGTGAGCTCATCAGTACTTTTGTGGCAACCTCAGGATATTCCATCTTGACTTTAATTCAGAATGTGCTAAGATTTGAAGTTGTCTCAAACATAATTTTAAGACCAGTTATTTGTGATCTCAAGCAGATGATCCTTTCCTAGTATGCATAAAGTTGTATCACCTAGCTTCTTCTCAGGTGGGTAAAGAACCTACTACTTCTCAGTTTGAGGGGCTTTTTATTTGTGAAATAATATTTAAATTCTTTTGAAAATTGAGATAGGCAGTCATGTGCAGCCTGGAAGAATGCTCTAGCTCTGTGCCTTTTTCTAAATCTCTTTTAATGTTTGAAACACTAAAAATCCAAATGTTTACTCATTGCTCCCATATTTCCAGTTTGGCTTCAAATGCAATCATTTTCTCTGCTGACTCAAACACTACTGTGCTTCTCCTTTGAGGTGACAGAATTTATTGATCAAGTTGAGTATGTCACACAAGTAAGCAAGTTTTCATACCCAATCAGTGTCACCAAAATGTGTTGCCTATGGTTACTGTTATCCTTAATGAAACCACTAAACCAGCCCTTGTAAGTCAGAATCCCTGGCTAGGGATCTTCATTTAGAAATCATCTCCCCTCCATGTGTAAGAGAAGGCATATATGTTCTGTGTCTATGTCCTCAAAGAGTTTCAGGCACAGACATTAGGTCAGAGCATGAACTTCAATGTGGTTGTTAATTTTATCACACTGGAAAACATTTTTCAATTTAGGTGATACTGTTTGACCAGCCAGCCTTTCTCTATAGATCACAAAGTTCACAGATTCACAGGAAGAAGTGACTTCTATGACACATCACTCAAACACATGAGCAGTTCTCCAGCTGTTGTCTTGGATGGCAAGAAAAGTGCACTCAACATACCCTCACGTACATCACCCTGTAGAATATAGTGCATGAAAATCATTGCCGAGTTGTCACAATCAGGTGGTTACTCCTAATGTGGACCATGACCTCATTAATCCTCTGTATTCCACCCCAACATCCCCTGCTACTCCTCAATTTGTCTATAAAAGATGCTAGACAAATGAGGGTCACATGCCACCATCTGAATGCAGTCTGACCTAAAAGTTCCTGACAAATGTCTTTAGCAGTAGGCAGAATCAACTCTACAACTAGTGAAGGGCTTCTTTCTCAGCTCCCTTTTTTCATTTATGCGTTTTTTCCCTTTGAAGGCCTCCAAGCCTTGTTCTTAATTTTAGGGCATTAGGTCTTCATGTGGCAAAGCAGTTTGAGGCTTTCATAGCTTGGATAGCCAGCCACCACATATTATACAAAGTAGGCTTGTTGAATTTAATTCCCTTCTATCAATGAAGGCACAACTTAAGGACACTTTGTATTTTGTTTTAGATGAGTTTTCTTTCTGTTGGAAGTCTTAAGAGCTTTCTGCTGTTTCATATTTAGATTTTTTTTCTTCTTTTCAGAGAACCCGATTAGCTACTTTGCTACTTATTCATTGTGGCTATCATAAACTTGTGATCTTACCAAAATTTTAGCAGAAATAAGTGCACAGTTCAGGAAAGAAACACAACTGAAGGCATAAAATAGAAGGTGGGCCATGTGTAGACTGCAGTGAGTGTTGGATTTGACTTAAAGTCTGTGCCCAGATGCAGCTGTACAGTTGAAGTACATGAACTCACAGCCCCTTTGAACTCTGACACCACATGCAGCTTTATTCTGATTTGCCACTTACTGGTAATGTTTTTATCTGAGTCTGCAAGCACTTGATTTATCATGGTCTCTGCAGTCAAACCTCTCTGCTAATGCTCATCTGTATTTGCAGTTGCTCCCCAGTTTTAGCATCACCCTCTCAGGTCCAGCTAAAATCACGAGGCTTTAGATTCTCATGGGGAGCAGGCAAAGCAGATTCCTCACACATATACTCCATAGTAGGGTTCATGCTCCAAAGAGAATCTAATGCCATGTAGATCTGATGGGAGCCAGAGCTCAGGTGGTCATGGTGCAGATGGGGAGCACTGTAGACACAGATGAAGCTCCAGTTGATTCCATGCTGTGCACCTCCTTTTGTTCAGCTTAGCTTCTAATAGACCATGGGTTGGTGCAGGTCTGAGGTTTGGGGGTTAGGGAACCCTGGTGTGTGTATTACTGTAGAGATTCGTCCATGTTGTAGTTGTCAAAATTTCCGATAATTTTAAAGTTAGAGTATATTTCCCTTGTACATGATTATTACATTTTGCTAAGCATTTATCTGTCAGTGCAGCTTTTGAAGCTTCCATAATTTTGTTATTGGGAGTGGTGCTTCTGTGATCATTGGTGCCCAAATGCCTGTGCAAGACTTTGCTCTCAATACTTTTGAGGACATAACTGGAAGTAGAGTTCCTGGGTCTCACGTTGTTTCATTTCTATCTGTTTATGCTGTGTGCTATTACAGATGTACCATTTTACATTCCCACCACTGTGCCCGAGGCCTCCAATAGGTCTCCTCATGTTCACCAATGCTGTTATTAAATGTTAATGACATTTATAAGGGGAAAGCTCACTATGGTTCCTACTGAAGATTGCTAGGATGTGAAAAGTCACCCTCACACTTGCTGTTTTTATTTTTCACTCTTTGATCTTCTTTTAGGTGATTTTAATGATGCGTGAATCTGCTTATGCACATTCTTCTTATAGTTGATGAGCTTCTTGCCTGTTTGTATTCTCACTTTTCATCATCTTAGAAAGTCAAGTGCTAGCTTTTCCTCAAATATTCCCTTGCCCTTTCTCTCTTTTTTGGCTACCCCATAATGGTATGTTGGTCTGGTTCATTATGTCCCACAGGTCGTTGTTTCTGGCCTCTTTGCTGCAGTCTTATTCTCTGTTCTTCAGACTTGACATTTTCAATTGTGCTGTTCTCAAACTTGCTGATTCTCTCCAATGTGTGTTCTGCCTTTGAGTTCCTCTAGAGACTTGTTAAGAGCAATATTGTTTTTCTTTATGTTTAAAATGAAAAGAGACAAGAAAAAATCATTGGAAATTTCAACCCACCTTATTCTGGAAAGTGAATGGTAGAATAGTAAATAGAAATGTGCAATTCACATTATGACATGTGTTTAATTTCTAAGGCTTATACATATTAAAGCATAATATTTTAATTAACTTGGAAATGTTTACAGTCATAGAAAATTACCAAAAGTTTGAAAAAGTTCACTATATGTGAAGGGAAATATTGCACAACAATTCAAATGAGGGGCCAGGGATTTAGCTCAGTGGCTCTGGCAACTGCCTCTCAAGCCCAAGGGCCTGAGTTTGATCCCTGCTGCCAAAACAAAACAAACAAACAGTTCAAATGTAGAAAATACAGAAATCTGGGAGTAAATATTCACTAAGCTTCATAATAAACTCTGAGTAATCCAGAGGAGATGACTAAATAAATGGCCTACAAGCATTTTATGAAGGTATGGTCAGCAGTATTGAGATCCTTGGAGACCAGCATGGGGACAATGCCAGTTATGCTTTTTTTTTCCTCCAATTTTTAGCAAACTTTAATGAAACTTCTTTTGTTCATGAACAGCACTGCAGTTTAACTAAATAGTGAATCTCCAGGGAGGTCCTCACTTGGCTATGGTTCACCCTAAATGCAGGTCAAGGTCTGAGAAGAAATAGCCTTTGGTGTGCTGAATTTACAAACCTAAATATAAAGTGACAAGAGCAGCCTCCTCTCTGGTGTGAGTGGAGAGCTAGTCCCAGCAGCTGCCACCCTGTTGGCAGGCTGGCAACCCACGAAGGGCTACCACACACAGCTGGCTTTCCAGGAAGGTATGGGCAATCTCCTGGGAGAACCACCACACATCCTTCT